TCCAGCAAGCTTAGGTAGCCTCTGGGAGGGTCCTAACTGTTATCCCTCAGGGATTCAGAGATTCAAGCTAACTGGCTTTCGTGATGTGATTACTCTATCTGCATGAGCTTTGCCATCATGGAAGGTTTACATTAGCTTTGTGTAGATTCCATCTTGCTGACAGCATGATTTTCTCATGCTTCAGTTCCAATCTGATAGTATTTCCAGTGGATGGGAGAAGCTAGGAAGAGTGGAGGAGTGGGACTCTGGAAAATGGTCCGTCATACCTGGGCCAGCTACACACTGAACAGGAGATGGAGAACCGAGACTGGGGAGAAATTTTGGTTACTGGCTTGGGCTATGATAATTGAGGTCCCTTCATCAAAGCCTCTTGCACAAGGGCCCTGCCCTGTGAGGCCAAAGGGGAGCCAGGTAATAGTTCCCTATCTTCATCTTAATGAATTGGTCTCCAGGGGCTCAGGAGAGGAGGGCAGTGCATTAGTTTAGAAAGGCTACAGTAGCTGAGTTCAGTATGACAAGTGACTTGCTCAAAACAACAGAAACTTGACTGTCTCAAACAGTTTAGACTTCCTGGAGGCAAGTCTAAAATCAGTGTATGTCCTGAAAGCTGTAGAGGAATACTTTCCTAGTCTTTTCCCGGATTTTGATGGTTTGCCGGCCATCTTTGGCATCCCCCAACCCACCCTTTATTTCTTTCTAAAAAGGGCCTTGTATGTTTTAGGCAAGTGCTCTACCACCAAGCCAACTCCTAGCCCTCTTTGGAACTCCATTCTTACAGGGTGTTCTGTCTTAGTATCTTTGTGACTCTACTTATAAGGCCATCAATCATACCAAGTGGGTTGAATTAGGTTTTTTTTTTTTTCTTATAAGAACCCCAGTCCTATCCGAATAGAGTGATTCTCACCTGGCACCTGCCCTCTGTTGGGATAGAGATGTAACCTCCACTCTGCAACAGTCTGAAAATCAGGATGCATTTGCAGGCAAAGGGGTTTAGGATTTCAATGTATCTTTTTTAGAGGACACAATTCCCTCCATAACAGATTCATTCCTCTGTGTAAAACTGCTCCCTGAGGCCCTGCGACTCTATCTGTAGTAAAGCCAGTTCGTTAATGGATGGGTTCTGAGTCAAAAAGCTTGGGTTGAAATCTTGACTTTGTTGCTGTGACTAAGGGATTTGAAACAGGAACACATTATAGTCAGAGTTCTTGGGGTTGGTGGAGGATTGGGACAGAGACCTTTGCTCCATGCTGGGGATTACGTGTTGAGGAGTACTAGTTACTCATGTGCAGTTAGTCGTTCCCTGACTATTCTCCTTGACTTCCCTAGGGGTATCCCTTGCAGACCCATGGGCCTGGCACATAACCAAATGCATTTTCTTTGTAGGGGAACTGGGAGTGGAGTGGAGAGCTGGAGGACTCCTTTAATGTCAACACATAGTAGACAGCTCATATTTACCATCCATTGAAATGTCTTTGTGGACTCTTCCAACAGAAATGGTAGGTCATTTCTCAAAGTTGTGACCTTAAGATCGGAGAGGCTACTGAGAGACTGACTTTTTACAAAAGATCTTCAAAAGTGGCTAGGGATGTAGCTAGGTTGGTAGAGTGCTGGTCTCCCAAGCAAGAGGCCCTGGGTTGGATCCCCAGCCCAGGTCACATAAACCAGGGTTGTCATGCACATCTGTAACACCAGCTCTCAAGAGGTAGAAATGTATGCCGGGCGTTGGTGGCGCACGCGTTTAATACCAGCCCTCGGGAGGTAGAGGCAGGTGGATCTCTGTGAGTTCGAGGCCAGCCTGGTCTCCAGAGCAAGTGCCAGGATAGGCTCCAAAGCTACATAGAGAAACCCTGTCTCAAAAAACCAAAAAAAAAAAAAAAAATGGTAGTAATGTGAGGGAGAGGAGGAAGACAACACTGTTAGCATTTGGTTATTTTCTTCCATTAATCTACCAGCTTGGCAGCAGGTGTCTTTACCCTCTGAGCTATCCCATCAGGCCCACACACCCACCTTTGTTTATTTGTTTAATTGTTTTTTTGAGACAGGGTTTCTCTGTGTAGCCCTAGCTGTCCTGGAACTCACTCTGTAGACCAGGCTGGCTTTGAACTCACAAAGATCCTCCTGACTCTGCCTCCTGAGTACTGGGATTAAAGGCATACTCCACCACCACCCCACTACACACCCAGCTTTTAACAGGTGCTGGGGTTCCAAACTCAGGTCTTCAAACCTGTATAGCAAGCACTTTTACCACTTTTACCTTTAAGATTATCTCTCCAGCCCCCTAGCTTTAATTTTTTTCCCTCTTTTCTTGCTTTTTTGCTTCTCTTTTTTAAAATATCCCCCACTTTAAGCCATGTATGGTGGTGTACAGCTGTAATCATAGCACTAGGGAGACTAACTAACATGAAAGAACCACAAGTTTGAGCCAGTCTGAGTTACCTAGTAAGAACCTATCTAAAGCAAAGCAAAACCAAAACATCCTCAAATATGTGTATAAGTGTGTGTGTGTTCCCTCTTTACATAACCTTGCATATTTGTATTTCCTACCCATTCTCTTTTTAACTCCAGACTTGCATATCCAACTCAGCTGCTATTTGCAAAAGCAGTATAAAGTTAATGGGTCCCAAATAAACCAAATGCTTGCCTGCCAGCATTAACTAAAGCCAGAGAGACCTTAACCATAACAACGTGAGTGAGTCTTGTCCCTCTACTTCTAACAACCCCAGAGTCACTGAGTGCTGGGTCCTTACCTTAGGCCAGCATCTAGTCTCAAATGGATCAATTACCTCAGCTTCTTGACCAGTCCCTTCTGCCATGGTCAGTTACTAATCCACTATTTACAGAACAGGTATGGTTCTGTAAATTTGGGGGGGCGGGGTGGAGAGATGGCTCAGTGGTTAAGAGCACTACCAAATCTTGCAGAGGATCAGAGTTTGGTTCCCAGGCTCCACATGGAGGCTCTAAACTGGTTTGTAACTCCAGTTCCAGAGGATCCAATGTCCTCTTGGGTCCTTCACAAGCATCAGGCACTCACATGATGTATGTACATGTATGCAGGCAAACACTCATACACATAAACTCTTTAAAAACAATTGTGGGGGGTTTGAGATAGGAACTCAACTCTGTAGCCCAGGGTGCCTTGAAATTGTGGCAATCCTCCTGCCTCAGCCTCCCAAGTGCTGCCTCATGAAATAAATGAGTTAGACAGTAGATAGATGAAATTATATTTTCCACTCAGTAAGCATACAGTCTCTTTTTAAAATTTAAATTCACGCTTGATCACCAGTGAAGATTTTCCCAAGTAATGGTTAGTTCTTTTTGGTTTTGTTGTTGTTGCCTTTTTTTTTTTTTTTTTTTTTTTTTTTTTTTTTTTTTTTTTAAAGGGTTTCTCTGTGTAGCTTTGGCTGTCTTAGTACTCACTCTGTAGACCAGGCTGGCCTTGAATTCAGAGATTTACCTGCCTCTGCCAAGTCCTGGGATTAAAGGGGAGCACCACCGCCGGTCTAGGACCAAGTAATGGCTAGTTATTAGTATGGTATCTTTTCTATATTTTGTTCAAAAACTGCACTTAAAGTACCATGTTGCCTTTGTAAAGCCAACATTACAAAGGTAGAGGCAGGAGGATCAGGAGTTCAAGGTCAGCCTCAGCTACCTTTCGAGGTTGAGGCCAGTGTAGGTTACACGAAAGTCTCAGAATATCAAAATAAATAAGCAAGAAACAAAAAGCGCCTAGGTTTTAAGGTTCAGAGCAGAGCTGGCCAGAGGGACTCCTCTGAATGTCTGAAGGCATTTTATTTTCCAAAGTTGTTGTGGGAGGCAGTGACTCTTGGTGACCCACTTCTTCGAAGGCAAAGTTTCTGAAACCCCAAACCATTTAGAGGGAAGTCGTTTCGACATCACTGGGTTTGCGAAAATGGGAAAGCAATTTGGTATTCGAGTGCCACACAGTATCCGTATTAACTGAGCAATTTTCATGGCCCCCTATTATACTCGCAAGGTTACGGGAAAGCTAAAATCCGAGACAAGGGGAGCCTTGTCCCTCACCAGCTTCTCCGGCCTTTTCCAAGGGACACACCATCCGAAAGCAAGAACATGGGAAGACGCAGAGCCCCCACGCGCGCCAAATTCCCTGTGCCCGACGCGCAGACAACGGGAATCCATCCCGGCCGGAGCGTGGGCCGCACGGCCACTCCTACGCCGCTGTGACTACAACTCCTCTCGCGAGAGCACCCGCAGGGCGGGCCCGAACGGCGCCGGGATGTCAGCGGAGCTCTCCAGACCGCCCCTCTTGGGGCAGCTGGGAGAGA